TGTGGTTGAAAAAGGAGGGTGCAGATTTTTAGCTCTGTGTTGTATAAACATCTCAAACCAAAATGATCTCAAGCTCACATTGTCACTCTTTGAATTTACGGTTCAATTATTATTAACTGCAGTATGTCCTATGGCCACAAGATGTCTCAGTGAGGAAACACTGAACTTTTATGAAGTGGTTTTGCAATATTGCTCAAATCAGACAGGGACTTCCAGTATTTGGCTTGAATTTTACCCAGAACTCTACATGGGCTTTTTACTAACACGAGACCTAAGACTGTGTATTTGTTTGCCCATTAGCGTAGGCAGTAAAAGATAACTTTAAGTGCTTAATGAACCAAATGACTCTTTGGAAAACCTCGGTTTTAAAAAAGGAAAGGTGTGAAGCATAGTCCTTACTAAGCAGGTGACAGCTGAGAAACACGAGTGTCTTCTTGTGTAGGATAGATAGGAGAGCAACTTTAGGCTACTGCATTTCATTTCCACAATTGATTTTGATATGGTGCAACATATTTTAATTATTCTTATTTGGGATTAAATAGTGTTACTTAGAGCTGCTATAGGGAGTCAGTTATTTGTACCACACTTTCTCTAAGGAGATGTTCTTTGGGGGGCCGAATGTCACTGAAACCTATGAAAAAAATCTCCTTTTGTGTGTAATGCACACAGCGAAATGCTTGGGTGGTTACGTCTGTGAGCAAAGCGGGAATGCGTTAAATATTGATTTTAGAACAAGAAGAGGCTTCTTATCACACTTATTGCCAGAGGGAAATGTGAAAAATGCTCAAGAGTTGGTGACTGCAGCATGACCTGTTTGTCTGTGTTGCTCTGTGTTGCTCAGTTTGCCTGCATGCACCCACTGCTCTGTTTGCCCTGGGAACGCTTCTCACCAATTTTTCTTTGGTTTTTTTTGTATTCTTCCATTGTGTTTCCATACTTATCTTCCCTCAGTTCACCTCCTGCATAATTCCTTCTATACCTTGTCTGAAGCAGGCTATTTCTTATTTTATTTTAACTTCTTAGATTAGGAAATAAACCAGAGTGAATCAAGCTGTATTTTTACACACTTGTGCTGCCTGCAGCGCGCAGGTAACTGATGAGTGCATCAGCATTCCTACTGCCAGCAGCTCTGCACAGTTCAGGGACAATGAACCTTACACTGTAAATCCTCAGCAAGGGAAAAAGGTGCTTTCAGTCAGAAGGCACGGCCCTGTGCTGTGGGGAGGTGAGATGGCAGCATCCAGAGGAGGAAGGGCTCTGGGCATCAAACCCGACCGACGGAGCTGACATTCATCTCTCATGTAGTTGTTAAGCTGCTTACAGAATGCCTTTGTGTTTTAGTTTACGTCAAAGTGAAATGAGGGATTTTCTCATGAATTCAGAATTCCAAATCAGTTAAGAGAGGGCTGAGAGAATAGCATTCTTCAGTGATTAATGTGTGTACCTTAGATAAAGTATCTGAGCAGTATTAAGGCACAGCTACCCTTTAACAGCCAAGAGTGGTTGTTAGGGAGATTGGCTTTGGAGCAGTGCAGGTGTTGCTGCTGCCTCCAACTATCTTTGCTGTAAAGGACAAATACACAAGGCTTCGATTTTGAAGCCTCATGGTTTATTTTAACTCAAAAATGGCTTATTTTTGCAGATATCCCACAGGACTGGGGCAATAGCAATAGGATATAACCTATAAACTCTTCTCATCAATCAGGCAGTGATATGAAACGCAGAACAAAAAGATGATCTTTGGACCAAAGAAAGCACATTCTGGGGCTGAAAGAGGAAATAATAAAATAGTTGTCAAAAATATGGGCCAAGGCCGTATCATAAAAGCAGGAGAGCTATTGTCAGGATTTCTGAATGCGTGGTGGGAAGGCAGTGCTTTAAGGAAGGATCTGGAAGAAAACAATGAAACAGTTTTGTAAATGCATTTGGGTTATTGTTTCCAAGTGTAAGGAGCAGCGTGAGAGCAAGCACACAGGGCTCAATGAAAATCTAATGAAAAGACCACAAAAACTGCCATTGCTTCTGTGCTAACTGTTGAAGCAGTGGGAAAGTGAGAAAATTTCTGCTGTGCAGAGACCTGCAAGTGTAACTGTGTAGCTGGGGAAGGGGTCAGGGAGGAGAGGGAGGTGGGAGGTGTCCCTTCATGGCAGCCCAGCTTCGCTCCAGATGTAGCACAGCGACGCTGCAGGTAAACTGTGCACTGCTGTGAGCAGGGCAAGAGCGTCACAGAACTCTGCAGGAAGGAAGTCACGAGGTAAAGCGTGATTTGTCGAAGTCACATGCATTCAAAATAAGGCCTGTTTTAAGTTGTTACAGTTTTATGAATTTGTATTTGTAAATTTTACCCAGAGGATGGTGTGTGCTTTGTAAGTAGGGTCTCCACCCTCAAGACTTGACATCCTGAGTTACAGAGACTTACAGAATCTACTGTGATCTGATGAGGTAAATGTCCAGATTCCTTATGCCTGTGCTTAATAGGAATACTTGAGTCAATTACAAGTGCAAGAACTCTAGTTGTAGCAGCTCAGAACTTTGCATGGGTCATTTACTTTAACAGAAAAGCCTACTTCAACATGCACACAGTGCTTCTAAATATTCTGAACAAATAAAAGCAAATAAAACAAATAAATCGTTTCGATATATGAAAGTCTTCCATTATTGGAGTTTAGTTGTCTGAAAGGAGGGGGAATAGAGACATGTGAGGTAACTCGGCCAGCTTAGATTACCTGATGCTGAGAAAGCCTTGTCCTGCATTTCTTCTGCACTATCCCTTCCTTTGATTCTGCAGAGCATTCAGTTACTGGAGGAGTTGTTTCCCAGAGGAAGGAGGGAGTGTTACCATCCAGATGTGCCGTGGTTCCTTAGGTTGTTCCCTGTCTGCCCTTAAAACAGCATTCAGTCCTGTTGGGATGGCGTTCAGTCAGCTCTGTGACATCTGTTCCAAAATTCAGGAAGACAATTGTGATTTTATACCACAGTCACCAATGCTTGGTCAGAAGGACGTTTCCCCGTATTCCATGTTTGTTCACTTCTAAATGATCACACCCAAACACTTCCCACTGAATAAGCTCCTGTACAGCTGACAGCATGCAGCGTGCTGAGGATTCTCACATCCTGCCCTTTGTGTTTCACAGTCTCAGCTATGCACCATTGACTTGTTCAGGGATGATTGTTCTGAGCAGAAACAAACAGGCACAGCCAACTTTGTGTAATAGCAGACACTGGAGGACTCCTACAGTGCAGCTGCAACATGTTTGATGTTTCTGCCTGTCTCATGCAGTTGCACAAGACTGTCAGTATGCATCAATAAGAAATGCAGGAACGTAAGGTCAGGACCTGCAGTCAGGGTGTGATTCATTGCAGAAGCTAATGAAAAGAGTTCCAAACCCAGAATCATCATAGAAGGCTGGCAAGATCCCCAATGCCTTTAAAACCTTCCCCCAAGCAAACTTTTCCAGTCACACAGCATCTGATCTGCTGCTCAGTTTGGCTGCAGTATGAAAAGGCAGCTTCTGACATTCCTGTTGCACAAGCAGGGGGCAGCACTCTTCTTGCTTTCTCGAGGCACCCTGAACATTTCCTTCAAGAATCCTAAAATTGTTTTCAGGATCCTTATAGCTTTTGTATCCAATACAGCTTTTAAATAACAAAATAAAAGTTATCCAGAAATCGGTTGTGCTTATGATGCTGTGCCTTGTATTTTTAGCACAAGCAGGATTCAGTTTGGTTGTGCTCTTGAACATATACACTATTCTGCTAACTGTATTTTTCAGCCAAGCAGCTGAATGATCCGAAGCTCCCCATAGCAGGATGGAGTGGTGAAATGCCTTTTTAACTTCCTTGCCATCAATTTCACACGTGAGCTGCGATGGGATCGGGTATCAAACAACTTCCAGGCTTCCAGCAGGGAGCAGACGGCGCCCTGGGTTGCGTTGTGTGCACAAGAGCAGAAGGCACAGATGTGGCAACTGGCACAGGAGGCACCGCTCTCCTCCTCTGACAACTCATTCAGCACAAACCCTGCCTGGCTGTGGGCCGGGGAGATGTTGCCACCTTGGCTGCAGGGCCTACCCAGATGTGCTCTGCTCTCTGCTCCTACGGAGCTCAGACACAAGCTGCTCTTCCTCCTCACCTTCTTACCCATGGAATAGGCCTCTCCGCAGCCCTTGCCCTGGACGTGGTGGGTACTCAAGGAGATGCTTTACTCCAGACGTAGAAAGGCAGTTTTGAACAGTGGATTCTATGCCTGCTGTGTGCTCATCCCAGAGAAGCCCAATGCACTTCATCTGTACAGTATAGAAAAACACCAACCAGGAGGAGCTCTGGGAGCAGGTGAACTAATTAAGTCTGTGCTCTGTGGATTTCTGTCTTCTTGTTGGCTCTCTTGTGGCTGAAATGCTAAAACGGAGCATTTATCCCCTGGGAGATCAGTCTCTCGTACCTTATCAGCCTTGCCCTCAGTGGGGGCACCAGTGCGGTCCCTTTTCTCTATCTCATTGATTTTTTTAATTAAACTTTCAAGCACGCAATTCCTTTGAGAATCCTCCGCTACGTCCAGCTTGATTGATGTTTGTTTTGAGGCTTCAAAATCATTCAGGGAAAGGGGTCTCCACAGGCAGATAAAATGGCCGGGGCTTCATTTCCTGAGGAAAGCCCTTAGAAAAAATATAAATAGAAAAAGTACTTGATATTCAGTGAATGTGAAAAAGTCTTATTTCCTTTGAAGTGCAATGTAAAAGATTTGCTTCAAATCAATGTGGGCATCATTGAATCTGATAACCTGGAGGAGCGAAGAGCTGCTGCTGTACTTTAGTTCTGCCAACTGGGTCTAATCATACTGTGCTGCTTCTCCCTTCAGAACTTGTTGTCTAATTAGAGACCCTGGTACACTCATTAAATCTCTTGCTGAACGAGGAAGTCCTGAAGCCAGTGAACTGGATTCTGATTTATAATCGATACCTGATCAGATTAAACGAGTGAGAGAATTAAATGACACTCACACAAATGTTTATAAATTTATTGATCTGAAATGTTACATTTTTAACATTGAACTGTTGAGTTTGGAAAAACAACATTTCCGTGGTTGCTCATTCATCAGAAATATTTTCTGTGCTAGAAGGTATTTTACACTGACTCTAAATGAACAGCCCAGGCAATGTCGAGTCTGCAGACCTGCTCTGCTCTTGGAAATGTAGGCTCAACATGACTCAGGATGTAGCCCACAGTAATTGCTGTCAGTGTTAATAACAGCTTCTGCTGAGAAAGCTTCCTTTGTTCACTACTGCAGTGAATTCACCTGATGACTTCTTGTCTGTGAACAACGCATGCATGAGACAGCAGGGTACAGCTGGGTGCTTTACTTACTTCTTCACCCTTCTGCAACTTGAAATTCCTGCCTGTTCATTACTAAGAATGAAATGCAAACTTCTTGCACACCAGGCACACGTGCTGAGCTTTGCCACGGCTTTTCCTTTTGCCAAGGGGCTGCTGAGTGACTGAAGGACATGGTCAGCGATTGTGATAGATGCAGGGGAGAAGAAATCCAGGTGTCTAAGCAAACATCCTGAGCCCCGGAGCATCCTACCTCTGCAGACATGGCTCAAGAAGGCAGAAATAGATGGGCTGGATGTTCTGGGACTGTATAACCAATAACTACATAACCAACGGCCTCTTTTCACTTCCTTATGAAGAAACAGGCTCTATTAACTTTTCCATCTTAGCATTTAAACTGTTTTCACGGTCGATACAGTTCAATTAGTCTTCCAGTTAACAATCCATCGTTGCTTTAAAGCATTCAGAATACTAATTCACTCCTTCATGAATCAGGAAGTCTCAACAGAAATTTCATTCAATTTTTTTTTTTTTAATCCCCAAGCTGTAGCAACAGGATCAGCACTTTGTTGCACTTCTTATGTCAGATTTAATCAGAACTAAATTACTCAGTAACAAAATCTAAGGTGGCTTTGCTACAGGCAGGACAGGATCCGACCCGATTTCTAAGAGCTGACCAGCAGCCCCAAACAACAGCAGAGGGACGGGGGTAACAGTGTGACAGCAGACCGACCCCTTACAAGCAGATTTATCTGTGCCTCTGCAGGAGCAGATGCTGCTTGTTAAAATCTGTTCATAGTAATCGGTCCTAGAATGCAATAGTATCCAAACAAATACTGAATAATGTTACATTTCTTTTTGCACATAGCTAAGAGCTTAGGCTACAAACAACTATAAGCAACAAACACATCAGCAGAGTACATCTAACGAAACAACATCTTATCTCTTGCTTTTCTTACTGAATGAACTGCTTGGCTCTGTTACTGTTTGATGAATTACTTGGCGTAAACATTTTAAGCATTGCTCACCTATTTTCTTTGCAACTACAAAAATTGAAGTGGTCAACTCTCTTCTTTTACCATTCAGCACACACGTCTGAGCTGAATAACCCTGAGTGTGGTGCCACTAATCAAATGGAGTGCAGCCGTATCTCAGAAGCATCTGCAGGTATAAGAACATAATTTAAAATCGTCCAAGTGCATTATAAATATTTATTTACTTATAAATGAGTCCTCCAGAATCAAATATTTGAGTCTTATAAAATATTTTGAGTCATATTCACCAAAATCTGACGGCATAAATTCTTAACTTTTTTCCTTTTGCTTAAAACTTGTAGAGATCTCCTTTGATCTGCTGTAGTGTTTTGCAAATGCAGTCAGCCTTTGGAGAGCTTCTGACAGACCTTCTCCCGTGATGGCACAGCAGGGCTGGACGTACCAATTTCTGTCACAGCAGTACTTCTTCATGTGGAATCTCCTGGTTATTTCCTCAGCGTTTAAAGCCCCGGGCAGATCCTGCTTGTTTGCTAGCACGACGACCGGCACGTTTTTTATGGATTCATTCTTTAAAAGGAGTTCAAATGCTTTCTTTGATTCCTCTAGACGTTGCTTATCAGCGCTGTCCACGACATACATGAGTCCTTCTGCATTCTCCAGGAAATTGCACCAAAGCTGTCTCATTTTCTCTTGTCCTCCAACATCCCAAAAAGTCAGTGTAAAATCTTTCCCCGTTTCGATCATATCGACATTAAAGCCAATTGTTGGAATCGTTACAAAAACGTCATCAGACTTGAACTTGTACAGCAGAGTAGATTTCCCTGCCGAATCGAGTCCTAACATCAGTATATTAGCTTGTTTTACTTTGGAGTGCTTGGTGATGTGGAGGCCCATTTGTGCCGTGGTTTCTGTATTAAACCTTTAGAGGCGGAATCCACTGTCTTCTGTGGAGCCAGTTTTTATCGGTACGACTTCTTTCTTCCTCCGTCAGACGGAGCACAAAGAGTAAGGAAAAGGAAGTGGAAGCAGCTGCTTTGTGCTATGAAAAGTAAGTAAAAGCTCTGTACAAATACATTCTGGCTTTTATCGAGTTGATAATATGCAAACAGTATTTATGAAGGTGTAATGTTCAATGCCAAGCCCGTGGGTGGAACTGCAGTGAGTAATGTAGCAATGGGTCACAAAGCCCAAAGGTCTCTAAACATGCTCAAACACTGAGCCATACTCACTTGACCATCCTCTAGAATGTAGGAACTCTTCTTTTGCTGAAGAACTGCGTGCTCTGAATCAGCAGTGATCTGATTATACACCCAAACCCCACAGTCCAGAGATCCACCACCCACCTGCAACTGTTTCAGTGAGTGCCTGCAGGCGCCTCGCTGTGTCACCGCATCCCTTTTGGAGAAGAAACTTAATAACACAGCCAGTGAGGAAGGAAAACCCTGTGGGTTTGTCCAGGCTCATCAGCCCGTGGAACGACAAAGTTCCCGATTCACCAGAGTATCTCATCTCCCAGCAGAGCATTAATCTCGAGTGGTTTCTAATGTAAGCCTGTGGAGGCACACACGCACTCAATCAAGCTGTATTAGCCCTGCACTTAAAAATGTGCTGTGCTCTAAAGCTGGCTGCCTTTGACTCAGTAGTTATTCTTCCTGTTCCTTCCTGCATGAAGTGCTCTGCTTTGACTACAGACTCTGAGTTATGTTTGTGTGAACACATCCAACTGCAGCACGCAGGATGCAGTCTCAGAACAGATCTTGAGATCTGACCTCTGGTGGGATTCAGCTACATTTGTTAGCTTTGCTATCATCTGTCCTGTTGTTGCTCACAGATACTGCGTTGATTTCCTTTAAGAAAGGAATAAGAAAGAGGGAAACATCTGAGTCTGAATCAGAAGGGATTATTTTTAAACTGGTGTTCTAAGCTATAGATTAAATAATAGGAAATTGAAAATTCAGTCTAATATTATTGGAATCATGTTGAGTCTCCGTATTTTTGGGACAGCTGGTAGATCTACACTGCGCTAACCTGATGCACACTGAGTGCTTCACTGCTTATTTGGCCTCACACCTGATGGACTCGTGGGGCTCAGAACATTTGTGCTTCAGAAAATACATGATCAGCAAAAAAGATGCAAAGGTCTTTTGGCTAAATAAGCTGCTGATACGGGTAATGGTTGTGATACCCATGACACGGGTTGCCCTGATATTACTGTGAGTAAAATGAACCTCAGCCTCGGCAGACGAGTCATAAGCTGGTTTCTCTTGAAGCTAAAGGGGTTTTACCAGAACTAACTGGGGGCAGCAATGGATGGAGAGACATGCTCACTGTAGTGCATTTGTCATATTTAATAACACACGTGGATTACGTGTAGGATTTCTTTCAGGAGGTATTAAACCACGGAAGGAAGCATTTGTGTTTCTTTATAAGTAATGTATAGGAATGAATTGAAGGATGGGGAGACGAGCAGCCATGCAAAACGTGTGGGAACCAGAGCTCGCCTCAGGGCGTCCAAAGGTGCGTTTGCTTTGCTGGGGCGCGGTTACTGTTGTAGGTTTGCTCGGATGTTCGTTTTAGAGCTGTAAAACACGGGCAGCCCGCTCGCCTTATGGCAGGACTCAGGACCCCCGTGCCGTAACACTTTCGGGCTGCTCTCCACATCGCCGCAGCAGGACGCCGTAATGGCCGCGGGGGTGCGCGGGGAGGCTCTGAGGGCAGATCTCACAGCGGTGAATTTCGCGGCTGAAGGAGGCCGAGCTCAGTTAAACAACTTCTCTTTCGCTGGAACCCACAGGAGCCTCAGCAAGGCCGAGGCGGCCGTGAGGCGAGAGGGCTGAGGCGCGAGACGGCCGCCAGACGAGAGGAAGGCGGGCTGCGGCGCGAGGCGGCCGTGAGGCGCGAGGCGGCCGTGAGCGGGAAGCGGGCGGGAAGCGGCGAGGCGGGAAGCGGCGGGAAACGGCGAGGCGGCCGCGGCGCCGTTACCCGGAGGAGGCGGGCCGCTCCGCCCCGCTCCGCCCTACGCGACATCGCGGACGCGCCCGGCGAGAGGGAGGTGGCGGCGGAACGTCGCGGCGCACCACGGTAATGGCGGGCGGGCAGCTGAGGGAGGGGTTGCGTCCGAGGGGCCGGGCCGCGCGGTGCCGAGAGCAGCAGCCGCAGCCGTGCGTGCCGGGCCGCTGCCGCCCCCGCCGGGCCGTGCCGGGCGCTGCCGGAGCCCCGTGCCGCCGCGCTGTGCCGCCGCGCTTTGCCCGCTCGGGGGGCGGCGGTTCCTCGAAGGTGCCGAGAAGAAAAGTCGCCGACAACTTTTTGGCCTTTTTCTTTGCTAACGTGAACGTGAAAGCGATTTAAGTTTTGAGGAGTTCAGCAGAGGGCAGCAGACGTCCTCTTAATGAATGGTGGCTTGTGGGTGTTCGCTCTCAAAAGAGGTTCCCTGCAGCAGAGAGAGGCCGCTCGGGCAGCGCGGAGCGTCCGTAAGAGCTGCTGCGAGCCGCTCTGAACGCGGCGCGGCTTTGAGCAGGCCGGGCTCCTGCAAAAACACCTCCGGTCCTGCGGTGAGCCGTGGGACGGCACGTGGAGGCGACTTCACCTTGGCGGGGCCTTTCCAGCAAGCTGTGAGCGTGGAAACAAATGTCATCCTGAGAGGAGCAGCCCTTGAGCTGCACTTCGTCTCCTCTGCCTCTTCTCTTTCGCTTGAGCGTTTGATGTAAGAACAGAAGGGGAATTTTCTGCCACCTGCTGCAGCGAGGGCTTGGGCTTCCCCTTTAACCTGCCCTTCTTCTATTTACATCACGGGTCTGAAGGCAGAGCTCTGCTGCTGAAAGCTGGAAGGTGCCTGCCCGTGTTACTGATTCTGGGCACTACAGGAACAGCTGTCTGGTGTTTCAGGGGGTGTAGTGCCCACCCACAGACCACTATAAAAGCCTTATTTTGATGAACCTGTGCTAACGTGCAGACAGGTCAGCATATCACTTAGGGAACGTGACCTCACACGTGCAGAAATGCTTTGTTGGCCGTCATGTTGAGCTGATGGTGCTGTTGGCACAATACCTAGCGTGGGCTTTTTTTTCATTTGCCCTCTTCTGCCAGTAGTCTGCAAGGACTCATTTCTGATCACACATCCTGTGCTCTCACTTCTGTGGCTGCACGCTGTGCCTCTGTGCTAGCTGCTGTATGTCCAAAAAAGGTGAAGATGGTTCAGTGTTGGTGTTTCGATGAGTAAGACGGTGAGGAGGGTTTGGAAGGGCAGGGGTGGGAAGGGTGGGACAGGACTGCAAGGGTTTTTGGGAACCTGAGCTGAACTTTCACAGCTCCACAGAAGGATTCCTGGTTGCAGCAAGTGCAGTTCTTGTTCTGGATGCTGTGTGGTGCCGGCACGTAGAAAGGATACGGCAGCTTTAAGATTGTGTTCTGTGCGGTGTGGCAAGGGACCTGATGAGATGGTTTCCTTGTTTCTCAGCTTTTCCATTGCTTATCAGATCAGGCTTTGGTCTCTGATTCTGTTGCTCAAAATGTCACGGAATCAGGCTTTTCTGTAAGGAATTGAAATCTTTATCACCAGATTTTTTTTTCCTTTAGATTGTCAAGAACTGACCACACATTGATGTGTTTTACTTCAGATTGGTCAAATCCCAAGAACTGTTATTTATATAAAATCAAATTCTAAGCATTGCTCTATCTGATGTAAGTTAGATATTTTTCATCTTGTTCACTGAAATGCTCTCTTCCAGCTCAGCATTTTGCTTGTGCTCTGGGATACAGGATTGATTCATGGTGCATAGGATGCTACATGTAACAGCTGGGCCAATGATTCTTGTGTTTGTCTTCCTCATTGCAGCACACTTTGGCTGGCACGCAAAGAACGAGGTACTGCTTGGACAACAGCATTCTGAAAACTGCTTTTTCAACTATTTTTCAGTAAGAGACGTACTTCAGAACTTGTGGTACAGATTTTGAAGGCTACTGACATACTCCTGTTACTGCCCGGTTCCTTTTAGTGTCATGCACACGATCCCATTGAAATGGATCTTTTTCTTTCTTCTCATATTTTCTGCTGTAACCATGTGGTACATTACTTTTTCTTCAAACGCTGTGGTTGAGCACGTGAACAGCATGTATTTCTATGAGTATGAACCGGTGTACAAGCAAGCCTACCTCTTCACGTCGCGTCAACACTTGAAATGCAAAGACATAAAGCCATTTCTGGTCATCTTGGTGTCTTCGAGACCTAAGGACGTGAAGTCAAGGCAAGCCATAAGGATAACATGGGGATCTGAAAGCTTCTGGTGGGGACATCGAGTTCTAACCCTGTTCTTACTGGGTCAGGAAACGGAAACAGAGGACAGTTCTGCAGCACTGTCAGTGGAAGATGAAATCATTCTCTATGGTGACATAATTCGCCAGGATTTTGTGGATACTTACAACAATCTTACCTTGAAAACGATCATGGCGTTCAGATGGGTGTCTGAGTTCTGTTCTAATGCTAGATTCATCATGAAGACGGACACCGATGTCTTCATCAACACTGGTAACTTAGTGAAGTTTCTTCTGCAGTTCAACTCCTCAGAGAGCATTTTTACAGGTTACCCTCTCATAGATAACGTTGCCTACAGAGGCTTTTACCAAAAAACATACATTTCTTATGATGAATATCCATTCAAGTTTTATCCTCCATACTGCAGTGGGATGGGTTACGTACTGGATGGAAAACTGGCTCTGAGGATTTATGAACTGATGGGTCATATCAAACCTATAAAGTTTGAGGATGTTTATGTGGGAATCTGCTTAAATATACTCAAGGTGAACATCAGTATTCCAGAAGGTAATCAACAATTCTTTATTGATAAAATTAATTTCGATATCTGTAAATACCGACGCTTGATTGCAGTGCATGGCATCACGCCAAGTGAAATGATCAGGTTCTGGAAGGATTTGTCATCCGTCATTTCAGTTACTTGCCTTTGATTCTGTACTGACGTGTGGATAAATGCACACTTGTATCACCTGAAACTTTGAATTCCAGTGTAAAAATGTTGAACTGAAGTACGGGGAGCATGGAACAGAGACAGATGTTGAGATGACATTGATTGAAAGCCAGCTGTGCTGCAGCAGCAGAACTGTGAGGGCAGCATTCCTCTGGGATCCTCTGAGGCTCCCGGTGCCTTTATTTAGGAACTGACACATTTCCATGTGCCTATCCTGTGCACAGAGGGTGCTTGGAATGCGCTGCACTGTCTTGCTTTGACCCTTCTCCATGCACTCTGCTGTAGCCAAGGGATGTCTGCCCAAATCTCCTGGAATTCATGATGAAGTGTCACTGAAGAATAACGTTTATGTCAAGAAATGAGCCCGGAAGATGCTTCTCAATCACTGCTTAATGATATTTCTTTTGTTCCTTCTGTGAACTGCGTGATCCTTTGCCACCCTCAAGTTAGTTGTTCTCTGCACAGCACAAAACTTGCAGCTACCTTCTTATTTAAATGTATCATCTCTGTCCTTCTGGGAGCTTTACATCTCATTTAAACAGCGTTCGGATGTATGTATGTTTATAGTCTGTGTTCAAACGTAAGCTTATTTGCGTACATGCAAAATAGAATCGCTGTGATGTCTGTCAGGTAGGACTGCTAATGCTCGCAGGCCGTTGCAGGGCTTGGTGCAGAAGAGCCCACGTGCAGTTCAGGTACGAGCTGCCTCGTGTGGTGGTGCTGTAGGATAACACTGGTGTGGGTGCTGATGCACCCCGAGTTGTTGTAGCTACACAGGGAAGATTCAGACAGATGTGCTTAAGCTGTGACTTCAAACTCATTTCAAAACAGTTTTCTGGCTTAAAATTTTAAAGTGAAAACAAGAATGTCATTCTAGGCTTCTCATGTCTTAAAGAAGACAAACGTGACTGTATCTGTAAAGATGGGTATTTTAACCACTTTATTCATACCAGCAAGGCCAAGGTTTCAGTAGTTTACACTTTTAATTGACAGCAATACAGAATTTGCAATTGCATGAACAATTATCCTAGACACATCTAATACACAGTGAAGATACTGTAGTTACATCCTGTACATCTAGAATGACAGAGCACTGCCACCTTTTGTTCTCCAGCTAACGTTAGGACGTATTTACATTTGGCTGTCTTTCAGATAGTCTCTTAGAGACAAATTAGAAGAGGTGCACAAACCTCCAGTACCCAGGCTGAGGTTTCACCAATGCTTTTGTTACATTGTGGTAAAGGTCAGTACTGACTTCTGTCTTTTCCGTAACTGTACATGGTTTTACAGTGGAGTTATAGGACATTACTTTTTGAAATACAAAAATGATGTCTCGGAGAGAATATTGTCTACACAAGTACTTCAGACTTCAGTGTTCTAAGAATGTTTGCCAAGAAGGTCAAAGTTTTTCAAAATTGGATTTTGTTGCTGCTGTTAAACTAATAGCTAAAGATACAGTATTGCACAACTGAGGAAAGAATGCCGGGTGGCTCCTGAAGCAGAGGAAGCTGCAGCTGTTCCTCTGGGTTTGGGCTCCATGGTTGGTAGCACTGCGCTCAGCTCCCGGGAGCTGTCAGCAATGTGAGCTGTTTGTTGGTTGTTTCTACGTGGAAATAAAAAAGCCTTCTTGTTTTGCTTTTACGCCTGCTGTGTTACATGCTTAGAAATAAATGGTTTCTCACAAGAGCACTGGCACCGCAGTACAGTTTGTATTGCTTCTTCAAAAAGAATGAGACTGTGAAAGACTGTGCAACATTCAGCAG